ATTTCCCTAAATATTGTTGTTACAGAGTGTATATTACGGCTGCGTAGGACAAAAATAACAAATCGGATGAACAATATATATGGGAGCTATAGCTATATCTGAACCGATTTCGATAAAATTTGGCATACTTATTTTCAAGTCCAATCTGATCGTACGTGTAAGATTCCATACTATTCGGACTGATATTACACGTTTGGTGCACAATAAAAGGCAAATCGGACGAGATATATATGGGAGCTATATCTAATATATATATATATATATATATATATATATATATATATATATATATATATATATATATATATATATATATATATATATATATATATATATATATATATATTTTGACCGATTATCTCCAATTTCAATAGGGTTCGTCTTTGGGCCAAACAAATGATTTGTGCAAAATTTCATCAGGATGGGGCAATGAATGCGAACTGTACTTTGTTTACAATAATACATGGACAGACGGACGACGGACATGCATAAATCGACTAAGAATGTGATTCTATGCAGATAATCAAAAGGAACTATGTGTCTATCTCGTTTCCATTTGCCTGTTACAAACAAATGCACAAAGACTTAATACGCTGGCCACCTTGTGGTGTAGGGTATAAAAATAGAACTCGTTATAAATTCTGTTAAAATCTTAAAAATACCTTATAAAGGGCGTTACCGTTTGGTGTCAATACGAAGGAGTGGACCTGCAATTTTCTGTCACAAGCTGTAGTTCTTATTAGGAACTTTAAATGGGAAATTTGAAGCAATAAAGTCGCAAAAATCATCAGAATACTGAATATCGAGAGGTACCGATATTTAGGGGATATACGAAGGCCTGACCTGTATAAACAATTTTCTGTCATTCACTGTACTATCTATTCAAACACGAAATATGAAAAAATTCAGGTGAATAATGTCGCTAAAATCGTCAAAATACCATACATATGGAGGTACCGTTATGTGGGGGCTATACGAAGATGTGGACCTGCATAGACAACTTTTTGTCTGAGGCGGTAGTACCCATTACGAACTATTATAACAAGATTTGAAACAATTTCGGTGAACAATGTCGCCAAAAACATCAAAATACCGAATATCGGGTGGTACAGTTATATGTGATTAAACCAAAACGTGGACCGATATATCTCAATTTTTAATACCAACCATCCTAGACTCAATACAAATTGTTCTGCTAAATTTTGGCGATCTACGTCAAATAATGTGGGCTGTATCGTGATTTCAACAGACAGACGGGCATCGTAAAATCGACTTAGAATTTTATGCTGATTATGAATGAAGCATGGGGTCTACAACGAATATTTAAGGATGTTACAAACGGAATGACAATGTTAATATACCCTCCTTTCCATGGTGGAGGGTATACAAATACATATATTGGGCTGATATTAGTCATTATTTGCACAATAAACCTGAAATCTGATAGTGATATATATCTGAGCAATATCCAAATCTGAACCGAGATTTTTAAAATTTAAAACAAAACAAATATTAACACAATATTATTCTTGTATCGTGTATTTTACGAATTTGCGGGACTTAAATACCAAATCGGATGAAACATGTATATGGGAGTTATAGCTATATCTGAAACCATTTTCACACAATTTTGGGCTGATATTGGCTATATGGTGCACAATTAACCCGAGATCTGTCAAAGATATATATGGGTGCTATATCCAAATCTGAACCGATTTCTAAAAAATTTAAAAAAGCCATTTCTGGGCTGTATCTGATATCTGGTGCCAAACATAACGGTTGTTGAGTGCACATTCGAAAATTGAGGGAGCTCAAGTGCAACTCGGATGAAGCACATATATGGGCGCTATAGCTATATCTGAACCGATTTTCACTAAATTTGATGTACTTTCTTCTTGGCCGAATTCGGTTGGATGGGCCAAAATTCAGGCCATTTGGGCTGATATTGGCCATTTGGTGCACAATTAACCCGAAATCGGATGAAAATATATATGTGACCTATATCCAAGTCTGAACCGATCTTGATCAAATTTGGGAGAGGTATTTCTAGACAGTATCTTATATGTGGTACCAAATATCATTGCTTTCGAATGCATATTACGAATGTGAGGGACTTAAACACTAAATCAGATGAAACATATATATGTGGAGCTATAGCTATACCGACATTTATTGTACTTGCAACTAGACTGAATTCGGTCGGATTTGCCAAAACTCAGGTCATTTGAACTGATATTGGTCATTTTGTGCCAATTAACCCGAAATCGGTTAAAGATATATATGGGAGCTATATATAAATTTGAGCCCATTCTCACCTATTTCAAAGCGGTTCGGGGTTCGGGATTCGGGAAAATCGGGAAGATTTCATCTCAACCGGATAATAAATCAGTTCTGCAATTTGTTCACAAAAATATATGGACAGACGGACGGACTGACATAAATCGATCTAGAAAATTACTCTATGAAAATCCTTAAAGGTAATTAAAGGTCTATTTCGCTTCCTTCTCCATGTTACACAAATGCACAAAGACAAAATTAAATTATACCAAATTATGTTTTTTTTAATACAGACCTTCATACCCGGAACGTACGCAGAGGAGGACACATGGGCTAAGCCCACTCAAAAATGGGTACTTCTTCGACAGTTTTTGTAAATACCGAATATCGGGGGGTACTGTTATATGGGGGGCTATGTGATATCGTGGACCGATATAGCCCATCCCAGAATTTGACCTGCCTGCAGACAAAAGACTGATCTGTGCATTTTAGATTCATATCTCATTTCGTTTTGACTTTAGCGTAATTGCAGCACACGGAGACACGAATATTAGACCGATCACGAATATACAGGGTGAGATGAAAAACATGCAACCAATTTCAGACTGCTGCTACATCAAAGCCACTCGTCCGGCACCTTTAAAAATTATTCCAGTGACAGCTCATTATATTGTTTACAAGCGTACAAAAGCATTTTGGTGAGAATTTTCCTGAAAAAAAGTTATTCGTGATGGAATTCAAGCGTGATAACGCTATTTCTTTATATTTGGCTGGGAAACCACAAGTGGCTATCGTTAGAGCACTCCAGCATTTAAATCTGAATAAATCATTTGTGTCTCGTACCATCGCTCGTAACCGTGATACTGTAAGCGTACCCCGACGTCAAATAAGTGGATGGGAGAAATCAGCAACATTGTTCGAAAAGTAAAGAAGCGACTTGAGCGAAACCCGCGTCGCAGTGGCCAAAAAATGGGCCGAACAACATATCGCAATGTTCCATTCGGCAAATATTGAAAAATGAGCTCGGGGTAAAGCCATTGAAATTCCAAAAAGTGCAAGAACTTACACTGCAACAGAAAGAAAATTGACTCAAAAGAGCTAAAGAGTTGCTTCGCTTGGCCGAAACTGGTAAACAGCCGAATTTGGTTTTCTCCTATGAGAAAACATTCGTTGTCCAGCAGTTTGTAAACAAACAAAATTATCGTGTTCACTTGCCAAAGAGGTCAGCTTAAAATGTGTACGTTAGGTTGGCCACCAGAACTCAAGCGCAGGCCATGTAAGCCGCCATAACAATTAATGGTCGCCCTCCGCTCGTATCATTCGACCGTGGTATCAGAATAAATGCCGGACATTATTGCCAAAATATTCTGGATGGTGTATTAAAGCCTTAAATACGCAAAAGTTTTGGCCGCAGACCTTGGACATTCTAACAGGACTCAGCATCATCGCACTCAGCCACCCAGGAATGGTTACGAAATGAGGATCCTCGCTTCATTTCCAGCGCACAATGGCCACCAAAATCTCCGGATACCAATCCGTTGTACCATTGTGTCTGGAGTATTTTGGAAAGCAAGGTTGACACTAAAAAATATCAAATTGTCAACCACCTCAAGCAAGCGCATCGCCGGGAATGGGCCAAAATACCGCAGAGCAACATTCGGACAGCGTGTGACGGTTCCATTGACCGTATGAAGGTTATAATTCGTGCGAAAGGTGGCCAATTCGAACAAATCTAAACTTATTCTAAAATTTGATGTTATTTCCGACATTTTTTGCTTTCTTTCAATAAAATTTAAAAACAAATGTAAAAATTATGTAGTTTGACTTTGTTGCAGTTTTTTTTAACTCACACTGTATATATTTAATAGGTCTGGAATTATTATTTCGATGAGTTACAAACGGAATGGCGAACTTCATATACCCTTCATACTATGTTTTGTGGAGGATATAAAAGAGATCTCTTGCTTTCATCGATCTCTGAGTAATATTGAAACAATGTTTCATAGCTATTCACATTCGGGCTTAAAACTGTCCTCGACCTTAGTACCTACATTTAATTTAAACGGTGAGATAAAAAAACTGCAACAAAGTCAAACGTCATAATTTTTTAATTTTCTTTATAAATTTTATTGAATGAAAGCAAAAATGTCGGAAGTAGCATCAAATTTTAGAATAAGTTTAGATTCCGGAGATTTTGGTGGCCATTGTGCGCTGGAAATGAAGCGAGGAACTTCACTTTGTAACCATTTTTCCATAGCGGTGGTGCAGATTCCTATTGGAATGTCCAAGGTCTTCGGCAAAATGTTTGCGTGCCCAAGGCTTTAATTCACCCTCCAGAATATTTTCGCGATAATATAGTTTACAAACTGCTGGACAACGAATGTTTTCTCATCAGAGAAAACCAAATTCGACACTCTTTAGCTCTTTTGAATATTGCGATATTTTCAGCTTATGAGCCATGAGTTATCACTGGAAAAAATTTAACAGCTGGCTGGGGATGACAGCAGTCTGAAGTTGGCTGCAGTTTCTTCATCTCACCCTGTATAGAGTCAGAGTTGGAATGACAGCAAATGTGTCTCCATTTTCTTATCTACAAAAATTATCCATTTTCAATATAAACTATTTTACCAGTCCTATTTGTGTCGGTTTTAAATCAGAACAATTTAGCCTACTTTCGTTGCGATCAACAGTTAAGGATAATCATATTTTCTCTCTCATTTCAGTCGTTCCCGCCCGAGATCCAATTATAAGCGGCATACGTTCACGTTACAAAGTTGGTGATATAGTGCGAGGCAATTGTACCTCTGGACACTCAAGGCCAGGTGCAAACATAACGTGGTATATAAATGGTTATGAGGTAAGTTGGGAATTCTCGAAATCTGAAATTTTGCCAAAAAAAAAAAAAAAAACAAAAAAAAAAAAAACGGCAGTGCAAATTTAAACAAAAACTAAATTAAGGCTTAAATTGTAAACTTCTGTTTCATTCGCAAATTATTATTGAGCCAATAAATATGGCTTAGTGTTAAGTAATGTCCTGCTGTCCATTGTCCGTACAATTATTGCAGAACATAAAGACAAAATAACAAACAAACAAAGAAATAAATACAAAACATCTGAATATTGTAAAACTAACTTTTCGGCACAGAGAAAAATATTACAACAACAACAACACAAAAACACAGTCAAAAACAGGCAAATCTATGAAACATGGCATAGAATGCCTTTTATTCAACCAAAGGACCAAGTTTTTGCCGTTGCTTCGTATATCCGCTTTGATGTATATTTTACAATAGACGCGTATGTTGCCAGGGCGGGAAGGGTAGGGGCGGGTAGAATGGGAAGTTGTGGGGTTGCCAAAAATGTAAACAAGGCTTAATGTTAAATAAAACAACCATCTACCAAAAACCATACACAACATGAACAAAACTTTGTCTGGTTTTAAAGAGATAAAACAACAACAAAAGCAACGACAAAAACGAGCAACAAAACTCTATAATAACAACTACAACTACCATGTTGGACCCAACGGTCAGGCAAACATATTAGCAACTTTCAAGTCCAACATCCAACCACCCAACCATCCGTCCAAACCAGCCCCCATGGCACTAACCAAAAACTATCCACAACAGCAGCCATAGCAAAACAGAAGTTACGAAATTGTCCAGAAACGAAGAAAAAAAAAAGCAAAAAAACCCGAATCCTTGTATTTCAACACAAACAGAAAAACTCTAAACAACAACAGAGGCAACAACAGCTAACGATGGAAATATAATTTAATGTCCACTTAAAGAATTTTTAGGTGCAAACAACCCAAATGTTTGCACTGCTCTCACACGAAAGTTATACGTTGCTCCATAGAGAATCATGTTTGGTAGGGAGGTGGGATGGCGGGAATACTTTGTTAAGGTGAGAATATTTTTACGGTAATTTTGTTTCTGTTTTTTCTCGGTTTCTTTTAATTTGAGGTGCAATGTCAAAACACGAAGCTATGTTAATGGAGCCAAATTATATATAATATTGCCGCATAAACAATTGCATTAGCAGATTAAGTCTCATAATTTTTGGCAAGGGAAAAGTTTTCGCAACATCATTAAGTGTTAAGTCATTTTAAAATAAATTTAATTAAATCGTAGCATTAAAATATGGTCTGGGAATAACTATGATCGTTGGATCTTAAATTTAAACAAATGTTACGAAGATATGTAGTTGTTCCATAAGGAAAATCGAGGCTTATAAATCACAATTACTCCAAATACAACAAGTAAAAAAGAACTAAGTTCGACCATGCCGAACTTTGAATACTCTCCACCATTTGGAACGAATTAGAAAATTTTCGAAAAAGTGCTCCATTAAAATTTCAGTTAAAATCTTTAAAATACCTAATATCAAAAGGTGCCGATATATGGGGGATATACGATATTGTGGACCTATATAGCCAAATCCCTTTCAGGGGTTGAAGTGCTCACAAAGAACACCTTGTGTAGAATTTCAGACAATTCCGTTGGGAAATGTGGCTAAAATCAACAAAATCCCGAATATCGGGAGGTACCGTTATATGGGGGCTATACGTTATCGTGGAACTATATGGACTATTATCTTTCAGAGGGTAAAGAACTCCTTGTGTGGATTTTCAGACAGTTCCGTTGAAAAATGTATCTAAAATCGTCAAAGTACCGAATATTGGGGGGGTACCGTTATATGGGGGCTATACGATATCGTGAACCGATATAGCCCATCTTCGAATTTGACCTGCCTGCAGACAAAAGACAGATCTGTGCAAAATTTTAGCTTCCTATCTTAATTCGTTTTGACTGAAGCGTGATTACAACAAATGGACGGACATGGCTAAATCGTCTTAGAATTTTACGCTGATCGAGAATATGTATACTTTGTTGGGTCTAAAATGATTATTTCGATACTTCATACTATGTATGGTGGAGGGTATAGAAATCGGTGGGAACAGCTTTATGTCTTTATGTCAAAAGCCCCCTAATTAAGATTTCACTTTTGAAATTATGTCAGGAAGAACGGCCCAGATATTACCCTTAGCATTTTGACCAGGGACATTTGCCCAATATTTACGGACTCCGTGCGTAAATGTTAGTTGTCGTAGTCCATTTTATTGCTAGGGCAATAAAATCAGGCGAGTCGATTGGCTTCAATTGTGTGAGCAGGAAATTGTTTTTGTTTTTTGGTTCATTTGAATCCCTACATATTTTTCGATCATCTCCAAAAGCAAGAGGCCCCTCTGTATCTCCAAATTTAGACTCATCTCTGTGATTTGTTTGTCTACGATATTTGGTTATATTCGTCAATGAAATCAACATAAACAAGTTAAAAAGCAGTAAGTTCGGTCAAGCCGAACTTTGAATACCCTCCACCATTTGGAACGAATTTGAAAATAAAATTCTTAAAAAATTCTTTTCAAATTTTAAAAATACCGAATATAGCCATTATATTGGTGTCTATACGACGTGGATCCACACAGGCATGTTTGTCATAAGTCATTACCAAATTCAAGCTCGGAACTTGAAATAAACGGCGAATAATGTAGCTAAAATCATGAAAATATCGTATATGGGGAGGTACCGTTATATCGGAGCTGTGCGAAGACCTGGACCAGCATAGACAATTTTCTGTCTCAGGCTATAGCATCCATTACGAACTACAAATACGACATTTCAAACAATTTCGGTGAGTATTGTACCTAAACTCGTCAAAATACCGAATATAGGGAGGTACTGATATATAAGGTTTGTACGAAGGCCTGGACCTGCTTAAACAATTTTCTATCATAGACTGTAGTTCCCATTACGAACTCTAAATACGAAATTTGAAACGATTCCAGTGAATGATGTCGCTAAAATCATCAAAATATGCATTGGGATGTACCATTATATAGATGCTATGCGAAGACGTGGGCCAGCATAAGCTATTTTTGTCATAGGCTATAGTACCCATTACGAATTCTAGCTATGCAATTTGAGACAACTCCGGTGAATAACGTCCCTAAAATCGCCAAATATTTAATATCGGGTTTACCGTTGTATGTGGACTATTCGATGTCTTGAACCCATATATATATATATATATATATATATATATATATATATATATATATTTCTCTTCCAGGGAGTGAGGGGCTTGGAAAGAACTTCTAGTATGGATTTTTAGACAATTCCATTAAAAAATGTTGCTAAAAGCATCAAAATACCGAATATAGGGAGGTACCGTTATATTGAAGATAAACGATATCGTGGATCTATATAGACAATAATCTTCCAGGGGATGAATAACTTAGAAAGAAATCCTTTTGTGGCTTTTTCAGACAATTTTATTGAAAAGTTTGGCTAAAATCATCAAAATAACGAATATTGGGGGTATTGCTGTAAGGGAGCTATATGATATCGTAGACTTATATAGACAACTCACTGAACCCGGTGCGCTTCGCTATACCCTTTTGATTTTAAATGCATTGAAAATTTAATATACGAATATTTTTTGTTTTAAAAAAATAATACAAATTCTAAAATTTTAAAAACTTTATTGTTGTAATAGGTCGATCTACCAACGCGTGAACGCACAGCTCACAATAAAGAAAGCAGGAACATGCCAAATTTAGTCCGCATACACGAAGAGTATGTCCTTCGGAGTTATTAATTTCAAAGCAAATGCCGAGCGTGCAGGAAACTGCAATCTTTTGAAGTTGAGTGGCATTTCTGATGGAATTAGTAAATTCGAGGCAGCAACATACTTTCCCGTAATAATCGTATCCTCAATTAAATCGCTGTGCGGCTTTTTACGGTTAGCCTAATACCATTGCAAAGGTCAATGCTTCTTAATAAAATCATATCCCAATCTGAACCGATTTCAATAAAATTTGAAAAAAAAAATCACACCTGCCACATTTCATTGAAATTGGAGGTATATACCGTTGAGGTACATCAAATGTGTGAAATCGGCCGAGAAAATATGTATGGGAGCTATATCCAAATCTTAACCGATTTTTAATTAATTTATCAAATTTTATATTGTAACCAAATTCCGCAACACATTCTTTTTTTTATTGAAATTGGACATACATATCGTGTTTGGTGTATAACATACATGAAATCGGCCGAAATATATATATGAGAGCTATACCCAAAGCTCAACTGACTTCAATATAATTTGAATTTTTTCGTGGTAACAAATTTCTCTCTCATCAAATATGTGAAATCGGCGGAAAATATATATGGGAGCTATATCCAAATCTGATCCGATTTAAATATAATTTAACAAATTCATTTTTGTTTCCAATTCCGTTACTCATTCCAAATTTCATTGAAATTGAGGATACATAGCGTGTTTGGTGCATCAAATGCATGAAATCGGCCGAAATATATATATGGGAGCTATATCCAAATCTGATCCGATTTCAATATAATTTAGCATATTTGTTTTTATTTCAAATTCCGTTATGTACTCCAATTTTGGAGACTGTATTTGTAATCGATCAATAGATATGTGCATATAAATTCAAAATTTTTGGGAGGTACCTCCGATTCTGATGCTATATCCCCAGTTCCAAGTGGAATTTCAAAAAATTTTATGGCCTATGTTACTTTCATGCGATGTTGTAGTATACTCGGAAATTTTCAGGAAAATCTGTGCAGCGGTTTTCGAGTCCATAAATTACAAACAAACAAACGAACATACAAACATTTTACCTCTCTTATAGATATAGAAGATTCTCTTCCAGGTGGTAAATTACTCAAAAGGAACTCCTCGTGTTAATTTTCAGACAATTGCGTTGAACAATGTGACTAAAATCACCAGAATACGGAATATCGGGGGGTACAGTTGTATGGAGGCAAT